GCTTCTGTTATAGCAGCTATACACACTCGTTCCCTCACCATCCCTCTCTTTATTCTCTCTCTCTATTCTCTCTTTATTCCCTTTGTTTATTCCCTCTCTTTATTCCTTCTCTCTATTCCCTCTCTTTATTCCTTCTCTCTATTCTCTCTCTTTATTCCTTCTCTCTATTCCCTCTCTCTATTCTCACTCTCTAATCCCTCTCTTTATTCCCTCTCTTCAAGTTAATTAAACAAAAAAATAAACGCCGCTTGTAATGTTAGTGGGAAACAGTAAAGAAGTGTAAACTCCTCTGTGATGAAGATGTGGAAAATCTAAAGTTACAGCTTCATCTCTGACGGTTACACAGCGCTGACACTGGAGACTCCTTCCACACACGTGTTGCGTGAACATATTTCTCCTCACTTTAATAAAACTTCACCACATCAATGAGTGCACGTCCCTGTGAACGAGCTGTTGCTATAGAAACCATAACGCGTTCATATAGAATGAGAGCATTAAGATAAACCTGCGCTGTTATAGAAAACTAATCAATACCTGACGACCCAATCACAGTCCAGAACTCAGCAGCGTCGTCGTGTAACTTGCAATAAAATATTCGATCGTGTTGACGTGTTTTTAGTGGACAGTGCTTCACAGGTTTTAGTGCATCAACAAGTCTGTTGTGCGTCTGTGTGTGTGTGTGTGTGTGTGTGTGTGTGTGTGTGTGTGTGTGGATGGTGGCAGGTGCCAGGTGTGGAGGACGTATGTGTACTCAGGGCTTTATGTCTTAGCCCTCTGTATTATTTGAACAGCTCTCAGTATTGTTTGTGTGTCAGTGTGTCATGTTCAGTGTCTCACATAACGCACACTTCATCAGGCGTAATCTCTGAGTGTTTGTTGTAGCGTTTAAACACTGAAAAAATCTGAATAAAAAACTCCACTATAGAGACGTTATTCTGTTTTATTTTATACACAGCTAACGAACTAGCACCATTTTGCCGATTCATGCTAACCACAGCTAGGTTACTGCTGCTCTAAATAAGTGCTAACTGCTGTTCTGTTAGCTTTGTAGTGTTTTGGCTTTAGGTTTAATAATTAGCGAGTGTGCCAACTGCTTAATTCACCAACTTGCTATAGCATGCTAACTGGCTACTTACCCCCCAACTTATCAGGGTGCTAAATGGTTGAATCACAGCTAGTTATCGTGCAACTGCCAGTGTGCGTACTGTTCATTAAGTTTATTTAATTCACTAAATAGCTAGCTTGCTAACTGAGTAGTGATCTTTTAAAATCACTACTAAATATTAAACTTTTGGTGATTTTTGCGTACTGTTCATTAAGTTTATTTAATTCACTAAATAGCTAGCTTGCTAACTGAGTAGTGATCTTTTAAAATCACTACTAAATATTAAACTTTTGGTGATTGTTAATATTCTGCTGCTAAATCTAACACTAGCCAAGTTAGCTAGCCAGATAAAGCGCTGTTTCGGAAGCTGATATTAGCATTAGGTAAAAGTTTGCCAGTATAAACGGCAGGTTTGCTGTCAGTTCATAACTATGACGCTGGTGAACGTAAAATCAATCTTTTGCTAATGAAAAGCATTAGCTTTTATTTTTTATTTCAAAACAGCAGTTTATGCTTCATGCTAGCTTTATGGCAAACACCCGATTAGCGCTTCAAATTAAATTGTGTTGGAGTGCTCAGTCTTCTCTTCTGTGTGGATTAACACTCAGGATTGAACACTAGCGGTGAGCGCTAACGAGAAAGATGCTAATTGTTTGCAGAAGAGAAGCGATTAGCGCTGGCTCCGGATGAGAAACAGCCTGGGTTTCATCAGAAACAGAAATAAAAGCGCTAATTGCTGGTAATGTTTCCTGGAAATGACAGCTAATGGAGTGAGATTTCCCGAGCTCTGGATCAGTCAGACGTTTTCAGGAAAAGACTGAAACCGGATCCAGTCGCAGCTTCAGCGCTCGAATCCGAGCCGAAGTCTCGGGGGTTAGACCTCACAACCTCCTGGTCACTAATAACATCAGCGTGAGAAACGTGTGCACGTTATTCCTGGTCGTCGTTCACGTTAAACTGAGCTCACGTCACGTTTATAATCCTTTTACTCGTGTTTAATGAGAATGAAATGATCATTGTTCATACAAATCAGACCGAATTCTTACAGGAACTCCAGTAAAGCTCTCGTTTTATTGGAGGATCAACTGACACTCAGTTTGAAATCAGTGGTGTTGTTGTTTTTGGAAATGATTTTTTTGGACACAGTTTTTTTCTTTTTTACTGGCATGAACTCTTTTTCCCCTATAAACGTAGGGTTTTATAGGACCTGAGTTTTTTGAGGGAATTATTGCACTTCAACACAAGTTGTTTCTTCTTAGCCACAGCATTTAATTTTTTTGTTTGTTTGTTTGTTTATTTAAGTCCTTTTTGACATTTTGGATTTTTACGTTTATTTGGAGACACATTTTTTTCCTTTTTGAGTTGGGTTTTTTTTAGTACATGAGGAAGTTTTTGGTGATTTTTTTTTATTATTATTTTTAAAAAAAAACATTTTTCAACACAAGCTCGTTTTTCTATCAGTTGGGTTTGGGGTTTTTTGGGTTTTTTTAAGGACACAAGGTCTTCTCAGCTTTTTCATTTTTGGAAACAAGTTTTTCTTGAGATTGGTGCTTTTTTGGACCGAAGCTGTGTGGGTTTTTTGGGGGGTTTTTTGGACAGTGGTTTTTTTTATTTTTGGACACAAGTTCTTTTCTTTTTTTTACAGCAGTTGTGGTTTTTCTCTTTACTTAGTTTACAGTGAAAAAAATATAATTATTACAACACATTTTGTCTCAAGGCCCAATCAATGATCTCAAAGAGTGTGTGGGTGTGTGTGTGTGTGTGTGTGTAGCTGACCTCCATGGGAAAGGCCTTGAAGTTAACAGTGTGTTCGGAGCCTCTCTGGTTCTCTTTGCCCCAGTGGAAGCGAACTTCATGCAGCTCGAACTCGTGATCACTGGGCAGAGGGCCTCCGGTCACCACTGTGGCCGGAACCCGAGGGAGAGACCGAGAGAAAACGTCTTTAACGTGGTTTTATTTTTCTAAAGCAGTGCTAAAAGAAATCTGGGCTGAAACTGAATCAGACAGTTGATTTATAGTCAGCTCGGTGAACCGACTTCCTGTTCCGTCGGTCCTGGTGCATGTTGGGTACCTGATTTGGACTTGAGCATGATCCTGACGGTGTGTCCATCGTTGATGACCTCACAGTCTCGACACACCACGTAGTTGGGCGTTAAACCGACTTCCAGCAGTCTGGGGTCGTAACGAGCCTCTCTCGAGTTCAGGTTTATGGGAGACTGATTCTCTCCGTTCGCTTCCGGGAACAACAGACCCCACTCCACACCTACACACACACACACACACACACACACACACATTATATTCCACATATTACTGTTTTTTTTGTGAAAGTTGTCTTTCCCTCACCGCAGTCTCGGTTTTCTCTGTTCTGTAGTTAATAAGTAAAAAAAAATGCAGCTTGTTGGGTTTCTTTTTGTAATCTGGGATTAAACTTACACTTGTGGCTGGAATGTATATACTTCTGTAAAGCTGCTTTGTGACAATGCTAAAAGCGCTATACAAAAAAAACTGAATCGAATCAAACTCCACTGTACTGAATATGTCGTTACAGCTTCACCTCTGACACTGGAGACTTCTTCCATAATGGTTACATAAACATCTCCTTACTTTAAGAAAACGTGTCGCGTCCACCGTACACGTCTCTGTGAACGAGCCGTTACTATAGAAACGAGAACATATTAGAACAAGCACATTAATATAAACCTGCGCTAGCGTCCCAGCTGCTGTTGAGGATTTATGACCAGAATTACACCATAAACACAACTTTACTTAACTTTATTTATTTATTTTAATCAGCACCACATCCACCTTCCCCAGATAAAGCTACACACCACAGCTCCAGCTCCAGTCTAAGAAAGCTTTGAGAGAGCACAGTGAAAAAGAAAAGCTCAGTTCTCCGGTAACACGAACGCGTAGCGGAATCAGACTCAGATCAGACTTGTCTGAAGCAGATTAACATCAGTGCCGAGCACTGTAGTTTCTCTTTTGCCCTCAAAACCACCAACGACCTTCAGAGAACAAAAGAAAGAGTCTGGTAGAAGGCCGCAACCAGCGAACGAGGTCATGTAACAGTTACAGACCTGATTTTACTCACTACGTCTTTACTTCCTCCGTACCTAGTCAATTATTATGATGATTATTATAATGATATGCAAATGAAGGGTTTGTTTCAGATAAAAGTAAACACTAGAGAAGTTTTCTTCTCTCTATTGTAGAAAAAACGAGACGTTTCTAGTGTCGGAATTATCATTAACATTATCATTTGGCCACAAATGTTTAGTGGATATTTAACTTTGTTGGCTAAAAGTTTGCGCACACCTGACCATCACACCTATATGTCCTTAGCTGCGTGTTCACCGCACGAACTTTCCACAGAAACTAGGGGCTTTTGAAGGTACCCACCGCAGCAACCTGGGTCTAAATTAAGTTTCAGGGTAAAATATTTCCCCCTCAGAAAGTCCCTACTCAGTAGGTGGTACTTTTTGGAAGTTTTGAGGGAGGTGGGACTTGGGCACTGAACATGCTGATTGGTTAAGTGCATGCAGCATATTTTTTTTTTCTGCCACAATTTCTTAAAGTCTGTTGTGGTACGTACAGTAACAGTTGTTTATTGCGATTCGAATCAATCAGACCTATGGACCGACGATGAGGTTCAGGCCTTGATGATCATTTATGCCGAGGATATAATATTGAGTGGGATAAGTGAGCTGAGCGTTGTTCACACCGGGAACGGTGCAGAGAGAAGCTCGCGAGTTCGTCTCATTAATAAAATCCGTTTGCTTAGCATTACCAGCATTCTGAATTCACTTTACTTCCACTGCTTGCCTCTTTTCCAGCGTTTTCTGAATGACCTTTTCAGCAACTACATCACAAGGAATAGCAGCATGGCTCGAATCTCAGTGACCGGGAATCAAACCCGGGCCATGGCAGTAAGAGCGCCAAATCCAAACCCCTTGACCACCAGTTTAGTTGCAGCAAACTCTTTTGTTCCTGTTTCTGATACATTTTACATTATTACATCATTAAAATCAGCTTACTGTGAATCAATAATCAGTTTGATTGTATCATAATTTGAGGCTTCAAATCTTCACCAAACGCTTGTCACGCGCAGTCAAACTGTACGTCACCAGACTAATTTGCCTAATCTGCGTGGTACTTAAATGTCGATGGAAACGCAGACAATAAAGGACTGGATGAACCAAATTGTCCCTTTAAAAAAGTTCCTGGGATTCATTGTTCCAGGTAATTTCCATGGAAACACAACTCTTGAACATCTCATTCCAGATTAATTCCCTCTTTCCTGTTATAATAAGTTCCACTCTTATGGGAACGCTTTCTATTAGATTTTGGGCCGTGGTTGTGGGATTTGCGGTTCCAGTTCTTCCCAAATGTGTTCAGTGGGGTTGAGGTCAGGGATCTGTTCAGGACACTCGAGTTCTTCTACCTTCTTCCATCCTTAACACACCACGTCTTCATAGAGTTCGCTTTGTACACAGGAGCATCGTCTTGTCTTTTGGTGTATATGAATGAATGAAACCGTGGCTGTGTTCAGTATCAGTGGCTTCACTAATGGACCAGTGGACCAGTGTAGATAGCTAATAAAAGTTATTGGAAAATAATACAGAAATAATTAGATTCCCAAGTTCGCATGTCCTTCTGTCCTCCGTGAGTCATGTGATCTCGTCTCGGCTGCCTCCAGCCAATAAGAACCCACTAAACTGGATTTACATCCACGAAGAACGATGACTTTTTTCTCTTCTGTGTCTTTAATGAGGAAGCTAAATAAAGATCCTCAGAGCTCCAGAGTCCCATCGCTATTAACGTTCACGTTCCTGTAAGACTGAAAAACTCCTCGAGGGGACTTCACCATGTTCTCATTTCTGCTGTGCTGCTTTTTTCACCTCCCGTGTTCCCCTTACGATTTTAACCTCACGTCTTCTTGCTCTGTAAATTTACTGACCGAGTTCTGAAGAGCAGGATGTAAATCTTCATCATCTGGTGAAACGAGCTCCATTTAAAACAATTCACAAACCTCTTCACGAAAACAAGACAGTTCTGGGCTTTGAACCCACCACCTTCTGGTCACTGGCTCAAAACCAACTCTCATCGTGCCATCGTTGGCCGTTCACGCAGTGGTAGCGTCAGCTAGCTAGCTTGTTTAGTTTGTTATGTGGATTTGCAACAATAGAATTAAAACAGCAAAACATCAAACAGAGGTCCACTTCAGTGAACGCTCACACTCAAATACATATTCATATTCTCAGCCACGTCTGAGAGGGGCGGAGCTTCATAAAATAAAAATAAAAAGGGGAGGAGGTACTAAGGTTAGCAGCGTAACAACGTCAATGCTACCAGTTTACAGCGCTAACTGCAACAAAAAAATTTTCTTCAATCCCACTTTTAAACACAAACTACAAATATCTAGCATGATTGTCATCTTAGCACAAAAGTATCTGCACCCTAAAAAAAAATTAATCGATGTCTATTTTCTATCTAGTTTTCTGAAATGACTGTTTCAGTAGAAATTAATCAATTTTAAGTTGAAATAAATGTTGGTTTCTAATACAGAAAGGTTTGGATTTTAAAACAAAAAAAAATACAATCTTACTCCAGGTTTTAAAATCGTTACACTGGCTTCTGATGACGGACCCTTTAGATTTATTCCTCTCTCTCTTTTATGTAATTAATGCTAGTGGTCCATATGAAATATCAGTGTTTTTGCAGAGTGTATATATATATATATATAAAGTCAGACAGAAGCCAAGACAAACTCGCTGTGAGAGGATGAAAATACTCGTCTTTTACTGCTGGTGTGTTTGCAGTCATGATAGATTGTGCTGGAGTGTGTGTGTGTGTGTGACGGATGTTGGTCAGGTAGTGCAAATAAGACAGTGTGTTTGTTTTGCTGTTAAAGATGTTCGAATAAGGGCCAAAGACACACACTGAACAGACATTACATTCTCACACCTCGGCGTTTCTCACCCTAGTAAACCATTCTTACTCACACGGAGTGACGTCTCTGTCTGCCGGGATTTTTAAACAAATATATATATATAAATATAACACAGACTTAGTCTGGTTCAGTGAACAGGATTGTGGGAAGCCTGCTGTATGTCCATACTAACAAGGACTTCTTCTTGTCTCTAAATGGGACAGGCTTTATCCAGGGAGTGTGAGAATGTCCCGTACTTTACACAAAGATAAATAATATGAAATATTCAATACTGTAATGTGACCAGCGGCAAAAGGAGCTTTAAACAAAACGACTGTACTCGGAAATGAAATAAATAAGGAATTACACACTCGGGGAGGACGCGGTTACAGGAAATGAATCTACAGGTGATTGCGGACGTCCTGTTTCCTCCAGCAGCACGTCCCGGAGTGTTTTATTCCTCTTACACCACAGCAGCTCACCAACAAGTACCATTTCGAACTTATGAAAGAAGGACGCGTTGTGCTTTTTATGTGTTTACAGTTACATACGGCATTAATCCTGTTTCTCGTTTACGTTATAGCAGCTACAAACACTCGTCCCCTCACCAGCCCTCCCTTTATTCTCTCTCTTTTTACTGTGGGAAATCTTCAAGTTACAGCTCTACCTCTGACACTGGAGACTCCTTCTGTACACGTTACACAAACAAAGTTCTCCTCACTTTAAGAAAACTTCACCCCGTCGAATACATGTCCCCGTGAACGAGCTGTTGCTATAGAAACCATAACATATGCATAAAGAGCGAGAGCATTGATATAAACCTGCGCTACTGTCAGACCTGCTGCTAATCAACACCTGACGACCCAATCACAGTCCAGAACTCAGAATTAAAAAGTAGAAAAAAGGAAAATGAATGCAAGTGTGTTGGACGAGGAGGAGGGATTGTTTCTCTCCCGCTCTCCTTCCTTACTTTCATTCATTCATCATTTCAATCAGGAATACGAACACATTCAAACTGCTAAGATTTGCTAAGCACATTATACCGACCCCCCCGGCACACACACACACACACACACACCACACACACAATAAGAGAGCACTGTCTTTAACAGTAGCTCAGTGACTTTCCAACCACAATAAAGTGTGTGTTCAGAGTTCGCTCTCGTATTTCACTCGGAGAGAAATGAGTGCAGATCTGTCGCTCACTTCTTTACCTTCCTCGTAGCCCCAGGCCAGCTCTTCTTTCCCAGGTAAGGAATCAGACTCCTCCATCACAGGGTCTGCCATACCGAGGTCTCTCCCTTCCTCTGGCAGTGTTCCAAATCTCTGTGTGTGTGTGTGTGTGTGTGTGTGTGTGTGTGTGTGTGTGTGTGTGTGTGTGTGTGTGTTTTCACTTCGAAGCCATAAAACCAAGAAGAAGAAAAATCCTAAAAAATTACAGCCAAAGATCTTTCAGTCTCTTCTCTTTCCTTCTGTTAGTCCGTCACTTGTTCCCGTTCTCTCTAACACACACAGTCACTCACTCACACACTCTCACACGCACTCTCACACACACTCACTCACACACTCTCACACTTTTGCTCTTCCAGGTGACTCAAGGCTACAGAATGACCTCCTCTCTCTGCTCCATTACCATACACCAGTTTCACTCCTTTTCCAGGCTGAAGCTGAGCAGACTGATTCTCTCTCTCTCTCTCTCTCTCTCTCTCTCTCTCTCATACCCACACACACACACACACACACACACACACACACACACACACACTATCTCTCACTCTCTCTTACACACACAATCTATCTCTCTCACACACACAATATACACACACACACACATACACAAACACACACACACACACACACACTATCTCTCTCTCGGTCTGGCTGTAGGTGGTGACTCTCAGATCTCTGTAGCAGCACGTTAAAAACAGCTGAGCAGCTCAAACTGGTTAAGAGTCCTACCACGAACACACACACACACACACACACACACACACAAGGGAAATGGGTGAGGTTATAAAACACCCAATGAAAAACAAGAAAAGAAAAGCCTGCAGAGAGAGAGTGGGAAAGTAGGAGAGTAGTTCCATAAAGAAAAAGAAAGACAGATAGAAGGAAAGATAAAAGAGGGAGAGAAAATAAAGAATGACAATATTCTTATTAATATTTTGGTTGGTGTTTAAAAAAAAAAAAAACTTTAAACACAAGCAAAAAGAGCCAACAATGAAAAATGAAAAAATAAGAAGCAGAAAGAAAGTGAAAGATAAAATTAGGAATAAAGAAGGAACAAAAAAGAAAAAGAAAGGAGGATAAAAAAATAAATATTGATAGACAAACAGAAAAGATAAAAGGACAAACAGAAATTAAAAGAGAGACAGATTAAAATACAGAAAAAGACTGTTGTCTCACTGCAACCTTCACACCTTTATAACGACAAAACCTAAGAAAGGAAGCAACGAAAGAGAAATAAAGGAGAAATAATCGGAGACAGAAGAGAAGAGACCGGCTGCTGGTGAAATAGATGAGAGAAAAAAGTATTAAAAAAGGAAAGACAGAAGAAAAGAACAACAAATAAAGGGAGGCAGCAGAACAGAAAAATAAAGAGAACAAGACAGAAAGAAGTAGAAAGAAAAACTGAGGTAATTTTTTAAAAATATTAAATATATATATATATATATATATATATATATATATATATATATATATATATATATATATATATATATATATTATATATTTAAGTTTAGACTGGGGATAGAAGAATCTCTTCTGTTCAGACAGGGCTCAAGATGATGTGAGCCAAATTTGGTGAAGATTAGACAAAATGCAGAGGTGGAGGACCAAAAATAGCAGCTGGATGGAAGCATTGTTAGCACGTTATTGTAACTTTTGACCAATAGATGGTGCTGTCTCAAAATTTGTTGTATAGCCTCAGGTCATGGTCCTGAAGATACAGCCTCACTTCCTGTTTGGATTTATTGGCACATTACGGGCAAACCGTTTGGAATATCAACTTTCCTTTGATAACGTATGTGCAG